CCACAAATGCTCCAACACGCTCGTTCCCTGCTGGACTGAGCCCATCTAAACCTGGAACAAGCAGGCACCTCGCAGTGCTACCAGTGTTGGGTGAAGGGAACTTTGCAGTGACTACCTGCTGTGTTTGCTGGGTCATCGCACAGGAACACGCATCTTTGAGGCATTTGTAACCAGCGCTCGCTTATATGGACATGTGTGTATATCACGGTTAGGCAATGACAGTATCTATTCATACGGGCATCCCTTCTCTGTCCTGAAGCTGGTGGAGAGACAGTGAAGATGAAGGGCAGATGGAAGATTTTCTTCTCTATTGCCCCTGTGGAAACTACTGCTATGCCACAACTACATGAGGTTTGCTGTCAGGCAGGAAAACCACCTGCTTGTTTCCATACTGACAGTGGACATGTGCATCACAGCCATGAGGTTTTTGGGCAGGTAAAAACAAACTAAAAAAGAAAACATTTTTAAATTTTAGAGAAAGAACAAGGCTGGACATGAACACACAAGTTCACATCAAAACAACAGCAGGTATAATGATTAAAAAAACAGCAATTGCTTTGCTGTTTGGTTGTGTGCCGAGCAATTCATGGCTGTGATTAATTCATTAAAACATCATGAAAACTGCAAGTGAGCTCAGGCTCAGCCAGGCAAGAGCATGAGCGTTTCAACTGGCATTTTAAAGGGCACATTTGAAAACAGTAGTCAGCTGCTTTTCCAGATTTTCTAAAATCTTGCCTAAAAAAAGGCCTTGACAGGTCAGAACCTCCCAGCTACAGCCCGTGCTCCGGCCTTCAAGGAGGAGAGGAAGGAGGAATCATTTGAATTCATATAATTTCCACTTTTTCCTAGCTTTCTATTGGGCAAACATTTCACTTGACTCTTCGAGAGCCCAAGTCACAGTTATAAGTAACAGTCCTCATTTGCCATTATATTTTCTGTATGAGATGGTGACATTTATAGCAACTTTTTCAGTCCCCCACCTAGCTGACTCGTTAGTGCTGAGACATTGATGGAGCAGTAGCAGGAGGCAACTACTCCAGCTGAGGTTTTTGTAACAAATTACCTGTGGACGGTCATCAGCCAACAACAGAGTGAGTCAGAGGAAATTACTGTTTATAGTTTACAGAACACATGTGACACAGAGCATGTTTGAAAGCAAAGTCCTTGCCTTGAACAGCTTAGATTTAAATTAGCTGAGGCAGCAGAGGAGGAGGGAGGGCAAGCAAAAGCAAGTCTTGCCAATTCATGGCACAGTGCCGGGTAATAGGTCACCAAGCAGGAAAGAAAACCCTGGCTTCATTATCAACATCAGGCCTGCGCTCAGGTGTCAGTGGCTCATTTCCTGGAGATGTCTCAAAACACGACCAAAGCCTTTTTAAAAGAAAACTTGGCTCCTGCTATGATGCGGATCGGACATCATATTTTGTTTTCATGACTGATGGTTGAGAAGGCCAAATAAACAAGCCCTAAACCATCAAGTATTTCTGCAAAAGGCTGGCAGACTGTACACGTGGCAGGTACCATGCACAGATGGTACGGACAGATGGACTCTGGCATCCCCAAACACTGACTTGATGTGAGGAAGGGAAGGAGTATCCTTGAGCATTCATTCATCAAGTTGGAGCCTCTTCAGTAGGCTAAAGGATGCAAGGGTAAATAAACAGAAAACGGCACAAACCAGTGACCTAGTCAAAAAGCTGCCATCAGAAGGGTGTGTGTGTGTGTGTAGGGAGGGAGGGAGAGGAAGAATCGTAATTAGGTCACAGGAACCAACAGACAAGTAACAGCACAAGCTTATCTAATGCCTGGGCTGTCAGCACACAAATGCCAGGCCAGAGGATGAATGAACAATTAAGAGTTTTTACACAGCTAATTATGATGACAGAGGGTTTGTGGAATAAAATCACTAGATTAAAACATTGCTGTTAAAAAGCAAAAGAAAAAATCAAAGAAGAAAGCACTGGAGCTATGCCACAAGAGGTATAACAGTAGCTACCTGCTCAAGAATAAAAGGAACAATGTTTTGGTAAGAATTAATTATCTGTTGGAAAAGCAGCACAGTAGGAAACAAACAGTCCACCAAGTTCTTGCAATAGTTTACATAAGTTACAGGAATGGCTTTAAGTCAACCATGATTACTAGGATGAATCTGGTTAAGACCAAAAACATATATGGAAGCCAATCATGAAACAACCCTGTCATTCTGGAGGAAGGAAAGAGTAGGCAGCAAAATAAAGATGTTCCTGCATACTTCAACAAATTCAGAACTATTAGGAAGCTTCCGGTCAAGATAATCCTCAGAAATAACATGAAAAAAAAAAAAAAAATCAGAATCTATTCTTATTAGGAAGGAAAATAAATAAACACAAAAAGTACATCAAAATGCCTGACCAGAGAACATTCAGCAGCTTCTTTGCTTCAGTTGACAAAAAGAGCAAACTGTGATCAGATACCCCTGACAGACAGGAGCATGAGCAGCAGCTGATTCAAGAGCATCTCCCTAGACTACGTGTTCTGCTCCACCCATTAAAACAAAAGCGTCTTCGAAGACCAGCAGATAATTTTAAAAACAAAACCAATCAAACAAAAAACTTAAAGAAGATTTGTACGCTTTTGTTGTGCTAGTGAATGACAAAACAAAGCTGACAGGTACATCAGGGAAGAAAGACAACTCTGGAATTTGAGGTCAGTCACGCAACATGGGAACACATGTAACAAGTTAATTTACTGAGCTTTTCTAGCCCTACGAATATAGGCACTGAGATGTGTAACACAAGTGACAGGAAATATGAAGTTTAATGTCAATGTGAAGAAACCGTCTGTGAAGAACACAAGCAGCACAACGGATTGAACTGAAAAACTGTTTTACCCACAGGAAGGAAAATGACATTTTTTCATATTGCAGTCAAAGTAAGCAGTAACACCAAAAGTTAGGAAAAAAAATTTGTGAGCTGACTAGCTAAGATGAGTCATACATCAGTCCTTGTGAAAAATGTACAACTAATTCATCCAGTATTTACAGCAGTTTTGATTATGTAAAGCAAACATAACCTTTCACAAATCCTTAAATCAGAGTATTTTTATTAACACAGAAAACTAAAAAAAAAAAAAAAAAAAAAAAATATACGCCGCTCCCCCCCCCCCCCCCCCCCCCCATTTGGCCATCACCTGTCTGGGATAACCTAGCTGGGAAGCTCTGTGATATAGATTAATTTACTCCCATCTTACAAAGACAGCAAACCAAAAAGTTGTCCTTATAGCTGCAATTCTAAGCAGCAATGTTTATTTGGAATTTATGTCTAAAAACAACTTTAAACATCAAACATTAATGCTTCTGTTACAGATGTCATCCCACAACTGAGCAAGCAGCATGTAAATTTAAAACACACAGTATACTTCTACATTAAAGATAAGAGATTACACAGTCAAGCTTATGGAAACCCATAGGACAAATCAGCCTACCACAAAAAAAAAAAAAAAGAGGTTCCTGAGAATTAAGATTGCAGTAAGGACCTTCATTTTAAAAAAGGTCAAGACGACAAGTACTTCGGGTAGTAGCTTCAAACCTCTGGATGAGAGCCCTGGCAGTACACAGCTCACTTCTAAAGAATTCACAAGAGGCAACTAAGAAAATGCAATCCTGTTGCAAGGAGGATTAAGCTTACTGGCATAGCTACCTGCACCTACACTGGCATTCCTACCCCACCCCCCAAAGGTCCACAAAAAGATTTGCAGTCCACTGGTTCACATTTATGAGTTCCAACATAAGACAAAGGTAAAGCTGTGTGTAACTGACCAATTTTGGAAAGAAAATTTCATCATGTGAGTAAACAAAAGCTCAGCACTTTGCAGATCAAAGAATTTTTAACTACATATTTTGTTCAGCTGTTAAACATAGAAACCAAAGTCTAAAAAAGCATTAAAAAAAACCCCCAAGCAGTAAATACCTGAACACAACATTCAAGAAATACTCAAAGAACATAGCTGATGTTGTACTACAACATTTTACTTCGTTTAAGTACAGAAAATTTCACCCATCCTATGATTTATAAAGTACAGAAAATATGTACATAAAGGAAACCAAACCCCATGAAAAGATCATCAGGATGTGCATATGCACATATAACATACACGAAAAAAGTGCAAATTTCTTTTAATGCAAGTTAAACAAAGCATATGCAGGACAGTTGTACAATGATAATGGAACACATATTCTAGATATCCTAATGATGGTTCGTATCTACAGCCAGTGCAAACTTACAAGGCACAAACTCAATGCTGACACTGTAGTGTTGTAAGCTACATTCAGGCACATCTCAATTTGTAGTTCTTCAGAAAAAGATCAATGGAAGTGCTACTTCTGTGCTAAAGTGCCAGCCTTCTCTCAATGTCCAAGCACTAAATTGATGTAACCTATACACAACAGATATCAATAGGGTTCAGAGTGAATTTATCACTGGGAAGTCTGTAGCTAAAATGTCTTTTACCCTCCTCACATGGGAAAGTATGCTATTTCTCAAAACACTTCCCATACATTCTCCAAAGGCTACTATACCTTGCCAGCCTTGACATGTGGAATCTTACAGGATATTACTAATGCTTTTTTCTAACTTTAGTCAAACTCCTGCAGAAAGTAAATCCGGATTTAAAAAACCCAACAGCCAGCAAAACACCTTCTGAGATACTTGCATTTAACAAACTTTTGCTAAATTGCATAGTAACAGTGTGTATCAGCTAGTAATGTTAAAAGTAAAAGCTTGCTGTTTAAGGCAAAATTTGAACACAGCATAGCAGAAAGCCAAATACCATCTCCGTCAGTATTTAAACAAGTACTGGTCCATGGAGTCTTATCCTCACAGTGTTTCCTTTCTTACCTTAATAGTGAACCCACACTTGCAGAATGTTTGATTAGCAAATTTTGTTGCATTTTTCTAAATGAAATGAGAGCAATTAATATGTAGGCTGATTGACTGATACTGAAAACATCTGACAAATACAGTCTCTTCCACCCTCAAAAAAGGTTTTTTTGAACCTACTGGGAGTTTAAAACGCACTTGTACCCCGGTCTAACAGAATATCTAAAACTGAACTAATAATTTAAAAGTTTTCTAGTATTTAATAGACATTACCACATCACTTTGCTGTCTCACTCTAAAATTATATTTTAATATTGTTTTTCAATAGAAGACATTTAATAGACATCTGAGGAAAACAATACAATACAAAAGCTTAAGGGTCTTTGCAAACGTCTCTTCTGTTCCTTCTGCAAAGTAAGAAAGGAGTGATTTTACTGGCATTTACTTGAAGTGCCATCCATAAAGACCTAAGAATACCTAAGAAAGCAAAAAAAGTTCCAATGCTTCACGTCTATATCTTTGGTTTAGCCTTCCTGACCAAAGTCTTCTGTAAACTTCTTTAACTTCTCCAGGTCCTTTTCATTAACTGTTGGTTTTGTGCTAGCTAGCGACCTGAGCATATCGGCCTGTCAGGAAAAAAAAAAAAAAAAGAAAACAAGTGTTTTCAGAACCAAGTTTAGTACAACTGCTAACAATCTTGTTGCTGAGGCAAATATGCATTAAGAAGCCCGTTAAAACAAGACGACCACAGGAGTTCCTATTTACACAAAACTAGGTAAGCCTGAACGCTTCTGCAGGGGCAGCATTTTAACCCTGTGAAGCCAGACAACTGTCAGTGAGTTTTCTAATAATGAAACCACAACCTCAGGTTTAGGTTTAAGCCACTCATCCACTCAAGTTTTATTCATCTCTTTTTACTGAAAAGAACTGAACTCTGTTTTTCTTTTTTTGTCAGTTACTATTTTCAACCCATCTTTAACTACAGCAGTTTGAAGTGGAAAATAATCAGATGTTCCCATGTACTTTTCATAGTCCAACAATATAGAATAGTCATTTGTGATTCACCTCTACGGAAGTTTTACTCTTCATGACCAGTAATGTCTGTTTTTTCCATTCAGTCTATTTCCCAGGTAACTATTTAGATACTAGAAAACAGAGTTCAGAAAAATCACAGGTCTATGAAGTTGAAAGCAGCAATTAAAACATCCTATGAATGAACAGGAGCAAGAAAACTAATAAAGTCCTAGCCAGAGACAACCGAGAAAAGTAGATGCCTAACACCTCATACTACTAAAAAAATATGGGTAAACTCAAAAGTTAGTATGATTTTCTAGACTGGAGATTTGTCTCATCAGATCAGATACACTGCTTAGAAAGAATTACAGTCTGATCTTTTTAAGGACAAGAACTGATTTCGGACACTGAAACGACTGCCTATGCAACTATAGAGCATCAGAGCCCATTTGGAGCACACAAGGAATTGTTACGTTTAATTCCGACAAAGACTGATTAAAAAACCGCTTAGACCACGCAGGCAGAAGTTTCAGAGCAGGCCTGCACCTGCATGCATCCTTTTGTGCTTCCTCAGTATGCAAATATGCACAGAAAATTCTTTTCTGAAACACAGTGGCGGTTCCATTTACAGAGCAGCGCCTACTGTTTTAGAGGTTTGGGATCCCCGTGAAATACACTGATTTCTTTCCTTCACTACAAGACTGCTTGCACACAAGAAATGACAGCAGCACAGATTTGTTATCAAGTCCTTCCCTCAAACATTGTACTTAAACTCAGAATTGTCTTTCGTTGCTCTTGGGGAAAAAATACAGAATGAGTGCCCAGCAATTATATTTTTTTAAGCAGTGAACTAAAATGTCAATTTGTCTTAAAAATGACATATTTTATTCCCTAGACCAAAGCAAGTATTTTAACATGCACAAAGAAAACATATGAAAGAGCTGTATTACCTGTGATGAAATTTAGCCAAAAACTACCATTACATCCATGATCTTTTTACATTTTATTGTTTATGCTCTTATTTATTTCATGGACACCTATAGCATGTACCTACAGCACATCATTTCCCAATTTACACCAAATATAATTTTTCTGTTTCCTAGCACCAGTATTAATGCTACGGAGTGATGGGAAGGAAGCACATCATGGGGCAGGGATCCCAAAGGTTTTAAATTAAAGACAAGTGAAAGAACAGTGGAAGAGCCAGATGCCATCTAAAGCTGAAAGGACAGCAGCAGCAGACCAGCAGACAAGAACAATAAGAAATGTTTATCAGGGATAGAGAGCTGTCTTTTTCACAGGCGTGCTGTACTGTAGTGCTATGTTGGGAATTCAGATGTTATCTCGTATGTCCACCATTTCTGAAAACAAACAACTCATCCCATTGCCTTGCATAACCATTTGAAAAAGTTTCCAGAGTTCTGAAAAGCAAGAAAGAAATGATACAAAAGGATCCCTACCATGGAAACCTGAGGCTCCAGTAATTTATCACCTGGAACCTCCATCCATGTCATTTCTATGGCTTCAGGATCACCTGGAGAGCAAGGGGTGAACAGATCTACCATCATATTTGGATTAGACACTGATGGTCCTTTTACCTAAAGAAAAAAAAAAGAAAAAAAAAAAGAAAAAAAGAGAAAATACTCAGTTTATAGGAGTTAATTTTGAAAAAGACCAAAATCAGAAGCTGAACAGCATCTTTAGAGCAAAAACATTCCTTGATTTTATGCAGATGCCTCACCCATTGGGAAGACATGTCCTGTGGAAGAGAAATTGTTTAAATGTACTGGCATCATTCACTTTGAAAACAAGCAGCTGTAGTCAGATACTTCAATTCACATCAGGTCAAATCCCAGGAGTGCTCTTGCTAAGGTTGAGGATTTCTGTGGAAAACTAACACGCCAGGAAATCTAGTTGAAGACGACCACACTTCCTAGTCCCTGGTCACTCTGGGAGGCCATTCATCACTGGTTAGCAGCTTTCTAAACCATCTCAATAACTATCCTCGAGTGCCCCCCAAGTTAGGAAGCCAGAGATGGCTTTTCAGTCTTTGACATACTGCACTACAAAGTTCTGAGCACCTTTTCAGGCACCCCGCAGCAGCACTCGACAGAAAACAGGGCCATCTAGTGGGAAAAGCGAGTCCACACCTTTTTTTTTTTTCTTTTCCCAGACACATGGACAGACCCCAAAAAGCTGTACCAGGCGTCTGTTCCTTTTCTGCAACACATTATCTGGGATCCAGTCTTATTTTCCCTCATTGTTACCTGAAGCATCACACATCCACGGGAACTCAAAACATATGCAAAGATTGAAAGACAACACAGTAACTGGCTATTTTTAACAGCAGAGAACTGGATTTAAAGCACAACGCTGGAGAGCATAGACTGTAATATTCAAAATGCACTCGACAAACCTTTATTATCACACGGAGCAAGGAATGGTTTACAATGAATCAGTAATAATTGCAGAAAGCACTGCTTAACTGGGGCAAGTTGTCTGTTACAATGCAAATCATTAATAAAGCTAAGATTTTGCTTATAAATTGGATGTGATTTCCTATTTTTAAGTACTAACAATACAAGTGGAATCAACTTGGCTTAATGTCAGAGCCCTCTAAGTACCGCAGTTGTGGGTTTTTTTTTTCCTTCCTTTTGGAGGTCAAAAGGAGGTAAAAGGCAAGAATTCCTTCTGGGTTGCTCTGCAAACTGTGAAAACCAAGGTCATTTCATTGTGCCATGGCAGTTGGACACATTCCTCAGATTCTTCCAAATTTGAATGATAGGTTAAAAGATAACAGCCCTTTAGCCAGAAATGTCATTGTTAATTAAAGTCAACAATGGATAAATACTTCAGGCGTCACTGTTTAAGGGAAGGAAGCATCTAGAAAATTCTTGATATATCAAAACAGCTGCTTATTGTTAAACAAATACAGTTTGCATCACAGTGTTACTGCTCAGTCGCCCCCAGAAGAAACTTATCAAATCAGTGTTTCAAAATCTTGTTTTGTTTTTAAACTGCAAAAAGCTCCTCAAAGACCCTTTAAAATGTTTTTGGTTACACTCCCTTCACCACAATGGCAGGCTGCAGGTTTATTTTAGTAACCACAAAGTTGACTAATGTTTCCTCAATGCGGACTCTGGAACCTTAACATAGTTCTCTCATTCTGGACTATATTGGATTTAAGTGTTCCCTTTTCTTTGAATCCTAAGCTGAATGTGTTCCTTGGAAGAAACTACATGGAAAAAAAAAAGAGCCTATCTTCAATTCAAAGTAACTGTAGCTGTTCAGTTTAGGGCCCTTAACACTTAGGTCAGGCTGAGTTACTGGTAAAAAAACAAAATGTAAGTGAGATGATGAAGAACTGCTGCCAACACAAGTTACCTGGTACATATCTCTTGACAGCTTAGGATCTAAATTTTTTCCTACCTTACCCAACACCACACTTGCTCTTTTAAGGAGCAACAAATGAAAGCTTCCCTTTACAGCAGCAAATACCTCTACAGAATGCCTTGACCCACCTTTACCCAAGATTCATGAACTCATGTAAAACCAAAGTTTGCAGTAAAAATGTAAACAAAAATTACTTTTAGTCTGGGTCTACTCTAACCAATACACGTTGTATGTATTTGGAACTCTGTTTATAATCAGTGATCGTAATTTTTTTTTTTCCATTGAAGAGCTTAATAATTTATAGACAACAATTAATTTGATTGAATAAGACCCGTATATGGAAATTCTCTGGGGGAAAAAAATGCATTCCCAGATTAATGGATTTAGATTGGTGCTAGAGAACTCTAGTTGGTTCTTTGTCAGATAAAGTTTCTTAGATCCAAACATTTAGAAGAAATGTTTCTTAAGTCCGTACATAGCATGTAGAGATAACTGCAAGACAAGCCAAACAATATAGTTTCAATCTTCTTTAGGGTGCACCTACATGAGTGTAAACTAGTTTTCACATTACAGCACCATCCATAGGATGCTGCATGCTGCCCAACAACGAAACACAGCCCTTGCTCAGTTGTCTTGCACCTTTACCACTGTCACAAGTAATGCTGATTCGATGTTTTTACCAAAATGTTACAAGAACCTTAATTTTTCCATTCGAAAATAAGCCAAGTAAGCAGAATGTGCATAATTATATTCCATCTGTTCCCATGTGGATGAGGGATACATTTGTTTAAACATGCTAGAAAAACCATGAAGAACCACAGAGCTTGATCCAGAAAAAAAGCACCTCTGTAACACTCCCATTTAAGCCGAATGCTTTTAACACTACCTAGAGACAAGAAGAGTCATCAGAGCTTGGATTACACACCATGAATACGCAGAGACGAGCTCCACCAGACTTACGGCAGGACTGAGGGGAGGCATGGGGAAGGAAAAAGAGAAGGAATACCCATGTTCTCCCCGGTCAATAAAATGCCATTCATAACCATGCAGTATTGCCCAAAATTAAATTCAGTTTACTTGCAAGGAATTTTCATATTAAGACAGTTCTCAGAGATGAAATAACTTAAAAAAAATTTTTTATTCCTACTTACTTTTTTAAAGTGAGTAGCTGATTGCACTTTTCTAACAGGCTGCATCAGTGCATCACGTACGATGATGCTTATATCTGCACCAGAATAGCCATCAGTTCTCTTTCCAAGCTCTCGGTAATCTGATTCTGTTAGAAGATTTGGAGTTGACCCAAGGTGAAGTTTGAACATTGCAGCCCTAGCATGGTCTTCAGGTAAAGGAATATAAATACGCTTCTCAAACCTGGTTTAAAAAAAGAAAAAACAAGATGTTCCACAGATGCTGGCTCATACAGGTGCACAGTGGAAGGAAGCTTATGCAAATAAATATATAGTTTGTTCCTAGCAATATTAGAGAGAAGCAGTTTCAGTATTAGATTTTTTTTTTAAAGGTTTATAAGGCAAATATTCAACAACCTGTTCTCATAAATAATACTGTAGCTAGCCTAAGCTAACATCCAGAATATAACAACTACTTCCTTTTCATGACAAAGATCTCTTCAGATCGAAGTTTTTCCAGATTCTCTCCAGCAGAGTTGGTGTTTTAAAAGAAAAATGTGAGGGGGAAAAAAAGTCTTTAAGTGTTGGAGTATATCTGAACAGTTTTCACACTCAAAGAAAGAACAGCCTGATAGCAAGCTGATGCAACTACTTTCTACAGTCTCCAACTAAAGAAAACCTCATAGTTGGAAGCAAATTTGAAGTCACATTCTCAATATGGTTGTCAGTAGAAAATGTTGATAACTGCAGTTCTTCCTTTGAAGTGGCAGCTGTTCTCACAGCGGAGATTACCTCCCACCAACAAAGTAAGAGCAACTCCAAATTCTATAGAACACAATTAATTTGATGTACATGACAAAGTCATAAGCCTACATTTCCATGAAAGAACTTGAGCTACTCAACAGTGTGTTAACAGCTGAAAGGGAAAGCTCTACCTGCTCATGCCCTGCCAAGAGGCGTAGTCTGTAACTTGTCCCCCAAGCCCACCAGAAAAACAACCAACAAGGAAATAGAAGTTTTCTGCTTGTTCAAGCACAATCACCTAACCAAGAAACCAAACTACAGGGTCAATATAAGAGTGAACAACCAACCTCTTTAAAGGGGCAAGGGGCTATCAGTTTGACTCAGTCCGTCTTGTGGAATTGAGTTGTAGAACATTAGCCATGTCTGCAAACACAAGCTGGATTTCTACCTCAGGTAGTCTCAGACTGAACCCTCCCAACAGTTGTGAATTTCGTACCGTGCAAAAAATGCCATCATACCTTCTCCTGATAGCAGAATCCAAAACCCAGGGTATGTTTGTTGCTCCTAAGACTAAGATTCCTTCATTGTCAACACCAACCCCTGTATCAGGGCAGAAATCATTTCACCATTTAGATGATATCAGAGACCTTTTAAAACATAGTCAGAATTTAACAGGGTGGAACTGCAGTTCCAAATTTCAGTGTTCTCATGCAAGCTAGGCTTAGAATATCAATCTTAATTCCTTTGACTGATTCTGAAAATCAGGTAAACTTACCTTGCATCTGGACTAGAAATTCTGTTTTTATCCGTCTAGCAGCCTCGCTTTCATTTTCACTTCTTGAACCGCAAAGGGAATCTATCTCATCAATGAAGATAATAGAAGGTTTGTTTTCTCTGGCAAGCTGGAACAAGTTTTTCACTAACCTTAAAAAAAATCAAACAACGGTTTCAGTCATCTTAACAATTACATCAGTAAAAACATGCAACTTAAGATTATAATAGTCATTTCCTCTACAGAATGCTAAAAAAAGCTACTCAAAGATACAACATTATTGCAGCTCCAAGACTCAGCATTATACAGAGATAGCTCAGCATTAAAAGGAGATGAAACATTTTAGAGTACTCCGGGGATGGTTTTGCAAGGAAAAGCCCTTTTTCCATTTACATTTCTACAAGACAGCCCAGATCATACAAAACTACCACTCTTGATAGATTCAAAAAGAACATGGCATTCTCTTGTTTAACATTTGTAACCTATTTGGATTAACTGGAAATTTTGTAAGAAGTAACAGATATATTTACTTCATATAACTTTACTAAATACTTTTTATATGAGAAAAGTTGTTTTGCCAAAAAAACCCCAACCCCAAACCCCAGCCATATCTTATTAACAAGCTTTAAATTTAAAATTAAATTTTACCAAGTTAAAAAGGAAAATAAATAGGAACATACTAGGAAATTCTTCACATTACCAGCATTAAATCTCAAGCAATAGACTCAAATGAAGTCAAACAAAAAGAAAAACGCAAAGCTGGACTCCAGTTCTGCATTCCTTTTGCAACAGAAGAAAAGCATAAGGTTTCCAGCTTTTGGGGAAAGAACACCTGAAGCTTGTTTTTAAAAAGACACGACCCTTCCTTCAAATTTAATTTCTTTAGGGCAACTCATCTAGCTCTATACGAATTTCTTCTTGCCAATGTTTTCCTGGCCCTCTGGCAACTCCAACTTACTTTTCACTTTCACCTAACCACTTCGAGACAAGGCCAGAGGAAGATACTGAGAAAAAGGTAGAGTTGTTTGCTTCTGTTGCCACAGCTTTTGCTAAATAAGACTTTCCTGTTCCTGGTGGTCCAAACAGGAGAATCCCTCTCCAGGGTGTCCTCTTTCCTGGAAGAGAGAAACCAACAGTCTTCAAAATACTGTAGAAAGACTGAACCTATTTTTCTGATGAAGCCCCTCTAATTTACTCAGAGGTTTTCCACATCTGCCAGATGAATCACAATCTCTGAGTTAAGAGCTCAGCTTGAGTGTCCGATATGTTTGCACAATGCTCTTCTCAGACCTCAGCGCTGGTCCTGACTGGCCAATGGCAAATAAATGCCATAACTCTGACCTGTAAACAGGTGCGGAAATTTAATGGGCAAGATCACTGCTTCTTTAAGTGCTTCTTTGGCACCTTCAAGGCCAGCAACATCACTCCATTTGACATTTGGTCGCTCCATAACAATTGCTCCTGTAAGAAAAAATTGTATAAATTAGTAAGTCACATACATTTGCAAAACTTCAGTAAATTCCATTTTGGAAAAAAAAAGATTTAAGAAATCACATCTATGTCCACACTGAGTAAAACCAAGGCATTTCTAAGGAAACATTTAATACTGTTGGTCAAATGAATGTTATTTCTAGAGAAATCTGTCACATTGTTCTACCACAATAAACCATGGATAACCAGAATACTTGAGAGTTAGTAGAAGTCCTGCAATGGTCAAAACTAGTCCATAACTTACCAGCAAATGTGCATTTAGTAGTCACAGAGGAGTACCATCTCTAATCGGTACACAGGCACCATCTCCTCACTAAACCACCACCATACTTCTTGGAAAATTTGAAATTTCATTTTAAACAAAGGAAGCACTAGCCCAGGATGTGTCAGATTCCCCAGCAGATGAAGTAACTTGTTGGGTATCTCCAGGTGTGTAGCTAACAATCAGATCATCTAACGGCAAAGAGCTTTGAAAGCTAGGGCTGAAAGCACCAGGAAGGTTATATGGAGCCTACTTAGCTGCAGAAGAAGGATCTTCTTCGTCTAGCCACGTTCTCTCAAAGTTTATCACCATGCCTCATCTTGCTCAATCAACAAGTTCAGTTTGATTTTAGCCAACTGAGCTGTAATTTAGCCTTCTCTTCAGACTTCAGATTGGTTAGTCTGATGTGCTAAGAATGATTTTGTCTTGACTACTTTTAGATGGGACGACTTGGATCTGAGCTAGCAACTGAATATTAGATCCAGTGATCCTAGCCAAAGCACATCCAAAGGTAAGAGAAGTTTTCTCAGATGAACAAATGCTAACCAACCCAATGCTTATCTAAGCACTCAAACTCAGTGAAAGTTTCAGTTGCCCCATTTCTCTACAAGGGGCTTTCTATAATTTCACAATTGGTTTTCACCGGATACTTTCTTGACACTTTCACTCTATGCCTTCAGAGCTTGTGAAGTAATTTAAGGATTTTTTTTCTTCTACAAGAATGAAAATTTACTGTTACTCACTGACTAATGAATAAAGCAAACAACGCTTTCTTCTTAAATATGTCCTTTGAGATTTTTTCTTTTGCTGCATTCTTTTTCTATCAGATCAAAATGAACAATTTCTGTTAACAACTTAGAATTTACGAGTCCAAAAGCAACATCATACTGCTGAAGATGTTAAAAATATTATAGCGAAAGTTGATTGTAAACTGTCCTGGCTTGCAAGCTATATACTGGAATTAATTCAACCATGCACTTCCAGTGCATTAAATTTCTTTGCTATGTCTTTGATTATGTCTCAGTTTCTCTTAAAGTAAACAGAACTATGGGCCCCATCACAAAGATAATTAGCAGAACAGGTAACAGTTCCGGAAGGAATAGGAGATTATTTCAAAGTTGAAATATCAGAGTTATCTGCACCAGACATACCATGGTAACCAAAATCACTGCACTGTAAGAGATTACCTGTAGCAGGACACAAATGGAATTAGGCTTCCTAACTCTGTAGGTGTAAATTAATAGCTGGAAGATTAAGCAACAGACTGCAAAAGGCCTTTCAAGCTCTAAACAAGAGTACATGACAATAGACTCACGAGTACTATCCAGTCTGAATGTAACTGGTCACTTCTCCCATAATAAGACAGGTGGCTATTATAATTAAAATCTTCATAAATACCCAGAGTTCGGAAAGTTACATGAGGCAAAGTCAGCTGGAAGCAAGAAGGCAGCAAAACTAAATACAGGAAATTCCAGTGGCTGTTGTAGGAAGCAAAATGAAAATGAGTAATCTGAGGCCACACCGGGAGTATTGTGTCCAGTTCTGGGCTCCCCAGTTCAAGAGGGACAGGGAACTACTGGAGAGAGTCCAGCGGAGGGCTACAAAAATGATTATGGGACTGGAGCATCTGTCTTATGCGGAAAGGCTGAGAGACCTGGGGCTTTGTAGCCTGGAGAAGACTGAAAGAGACCTTATCAACGCTTATAAATATCTAAAGGGTGGGTGTCAGGAGGATGGGGCCAGGCTCTTCTCAGTGGTGCCCAGTGACAGGGCAAGGGGCAATGGACACAAACTGAAGCACAGGAAGCTCTGCCTCAGCATGAGGAAAAACTTCTTCACATTAAGGGTGACAGAGCACTGGAACAGGCTGCCCAGGAAGGCTGTGGAGTCTCCTTCTCTGGAGACATTCAAAACCTGCCTGGATGCGTTCCTGTGTGACCTACTCTAGGTGGTCCTGCTCTGGCAGGGGAGTTGGACTAGATGATCTCCAGAGGTCCCTTCCAACCCCTGACATTCTGTGATTCTGTGAAGGTTGTCCAGAGCTTGTATTCTCTGAGTAACAGACTCGCGTGTTAAATTTAAAGGTACCAAGGATCTCACATCTCAGACTTTCAAGCAATCAAATGTATAAGCAAGAATGTTGTCATTTTATCGAAAGCATCAAAGAAGTGGTGAGTGCAAGAAACTATTTCTTGAAGTAAGAACTGAAGGTCAGATTCATGTGGGAAGAAAAGACTTTATAGTAGGAGACAGGAGAAGAGTAATTTTTCTGTCATTTTAAAATACAGGAAACTATCCAATATAACTGTGCACAGGATTAAATAAGTGTGCAGAAAAGTAGAAAAAGCACAGTGCAGTTTCCAAATATGGTACAATAGCTCCTGAAATTACACAGGCAGAAAGATCTGGTAAATGCATTTGATCTTTGTTACACTGGAAAATAGGGGGAGAACAATGAAGTTTCCTCAGATCCATACGCACAGGGAAGCTCTGAAAAGTTCTTCAGTATTAAAGTGTAATAAAGATCAAAGGCTCTTTTTTACTGCGTACAGAACTACTGCTAGCTGCTATATATTGCATCACTGACTGTATTCAGCATTTGAGTTCAAAAACCCAAACTGTTGTTACTCAACTGGGACAGCATCATCACAGCATATGAGAAAATGCAGCCCGTTACTCTAAACGGCCAAGAATCCACATTCTCAACTCCTGAACTTGAGCACAAGTTTTTTTGTTAAAACGGTCCTGCTTACAGTAAGTGTTTGTACAACATTTCTTACCTTAGCCTCTAGGCAATGTTCTAAAGCACTTAAGAGTAAAAAATGCTGATTCAGTTTAGCCAATAGCTACCTGGGATCTTGCAATTTCTCTCTTTGGAAAATACTACCCTGATAAATGGTACAATTTTAACATGAAGCACAGGGCATAGGAGATACATTTCAACACAGTTACTGTATAATTTCACGGCAAACAAACCTATACTACCATAGAGACTATGCTTTTCTATGTGAAGAGTACGTACTAGCTGAGCCACCTACAGGCAGTAAGTTAATCCATAACATTTAGGTAGGAAAAATACAGGAATTCACTTGAGTGAAGTCACCCCTATTTAAAGAAAAGGATGCTTCAAAATTACCTTGAAGTTGATTCTGTAGCTTCTTTTTTTCAGGATCCTCTGACTCCCCTTCCCCATCACTGTCATTCCTGATTTGGAAACAAGAAAAAAATGTTTAAATACAATAAAAGATACTGCTGTCTTAGGACAAAAATCAGAATGCAAAAAGCAGAAAAATCACCAGTTTGAGGAATGAAAGAAACATTGAGATGCTTTCAGATCTCTACAGGTTTACATCATTGTACTCCTGTTTTTCTACACCATGTTCTTTCCAACTCACCCTCCTCACCATTTCAACTTCCTCTTATGGGTCTGAGCCCTCTTAACACTCCTACATGCTTTGAGCCAGTCTTTAGGAAACAAAAGCCCTTGTATTGAGCAACCTGGAAGTGCTAAAATGGTTTATTTGTAGACATTGGCACTTGTTCCCTATCTGGAATTGCAACAGGACTTGGTTAATTCCATCTAGTACGATGAAACTCTACATTCTCATCTTACCCGAGCAATAGGAACTGGAAGTTAAAGAAGGAAGAAAAGAGACTAGATAGCGAACAATTGGAGTGGAGGTCATGAAAATACATGTAGCCTCTGTGATATTACCAATTCCTTCTATTATAAACGAGCAGAACACAGTACAGCTTAAAAAACGAGTTATGAGACAAGTAGACAATGAAGGAGACTGAAAAATCAGGTGAAGTTTCAAGAGGCAACTGAGCAACTCTAGTTGTTCAGGACTGCTAAAAGGAACAATCCCACCAGAAGGTATCATCCTGAGCCCTTTCCTCTCTCCTATCCCCATAAACACAGCAGCAAATGCAAAAGAGGCTCTGCTTGTTCAGTTGGCTCTGCTTGTTCAGCTGTCCGACATGCAAAAACAAATCTGACAAAAGGAAAGCAGCCAAGAGGCTAGGCAGCAGCAAGGCATTAGAGCGATTCAGCCCATCCTACAGAACTTCACCCTACGTACAGCTTTGCGCCTCCTATCAAGCGTGAGACACATCAAACTCGGGCCCCAGTAATCATCAGTCTGAATTTATTTTCTAGTTAGTAAGTCTTTAAATGCAGAAAAATTTTAAGGGTCATCAAGTTCATTGCCATTAAACCTGATAATCATGTGTTGGTCTGAAACAGCTTTCATTCTTCAGTGAATTTCCTATGCAAATGTTTGCACATTTTAGTAAACAAGCACAGAAATGCCCATGATGCCAGTTCATGTTATTTTTCTCTTATAAGCCCACTGTATTTCAGCATTAGTAGTCATCTGAAGCATCCAAAAAACACTAGTTAAAATGATCTTTGAAGAGTCAAATTTTAGAATAAGCTGAGTTCAGGAAGTATTTTGCTTTACCTTCTCCAAAAACATACCCTTTTCCATCAGCAGGACCAGACTCTTTAACTGGTTTTGGTGCAGTTTTTTCCCTCTTTTTCAGATATTCTTTCAGCTTTTCTGCTCTGTCCAAGTATTCTGTACATTTCGTTCTAATGCTCTGTTTTGCTTTATCACCCTGTGCTTCATCTAAGAGTTTGAAGAGAAACAACGCTTTGTTAAGATCAAAACACATGTGCATCAGTCAGAAAACAGGACTACATCTCAGTCTTTATATCTTATCAATATACCTCTCTCAGGGCTCACCACACAAGCAAACACCTCAACTACTTCTTTCTCCCCTATACCATGGAAAGAAGTGACACGAAGGATGTCATCACCTACCAGAAATCAAATATACACCTGAACATTGCTTTGGCTTAAAATTCGACTGTAAAAGATTAAAGACAGTGGCACTGGAAGCTTTTCTGTCAGCCCTTCAAGCTCCTATACATTGTCTTAATTCCTTTTCTAAATCAGCTCATCAAGAAGCTGCTTGTGCTAAGTGATGAAGCATACTTTAAAATTAGCAAGCTATGGAAAAATAAAAGATGTTCACATCATAAAGAAAAAAATTACATAAAACATCTGAAAGAGTTAGGTGTGGTTGAACAGCCACACTGTTCTCTTAGTCACTACTACAGTACTGTAAATCAGCAATCAAAATGTAACGTATTAGATGTATGCGTTAAGTTACCAAAAGTACATCACTATTGTTAAAAGCACAGAAAGCAATATTCTGATAAAGTCCATAAGATATAAATGGATAGGAAGCGATAAACACAAATTATCCTAAGTGACTACAAAGAAAATAGCGGGCTTTTTTCAAATCATGGAGTTCTGTAAGTGAACTTACGTCAAGCAAGCAACTCTAGCCCACTTACATTAGGCCTGTACCTACATTAAGAAAGCCCACTCCTTCCACACAAACACCGGACATCACATGAAAGGTACACACGTGTGAAAAGGCATAAAATAATGAGAATATGGAAACTGAAGAAAAATTACAACATATAAATCCATCTCATACACTGTTGGCCAAGATGAACAGCAAGACTATGACATTAAGGAGCAAAGAATGCCAGCAGAGAGGTTGAGAAAGGCAAGTGGCATGAGTTAAGGTGCAAAAAACGCTCCGTAGACACAGCAAAGACTCCTTGTATAACATGTGGTTTTCAGCGCAACAGAAATACAGGGATCCCTGTACTTAATGTCTCGTTTCCTCGTGGAGTGGCCAGGCTGAAACACTGCTACAGAAGTCCAGAGGAGAGACAGCAAATCCCTGCCTCCCTCTCTTTAAAAAACCTAAACCAAACCACGAGTAAAAAATAATCTGATTTCTAATGAGCACGGAGCAAGGACATAGCACAGTAAAGGCAAAAGCTGCACAATACATGACCTCAGTCAAACTACAATTAGCAAGTATCAACTGATGATTAAAGTAAAAATCTAAATACTGCTGTCAACATAAAAGATTACTCTGTGCAATACGACTACTACACTCTACTTAATCATCCAGTACATTACACTCACATTTAACAACGTGGAGAAAATACTGGACAGCGTGTTGGTACAAGCGGAAGGCTTCCTCATAGTTTCCTGCTTTATCTTCTTGCGCTGCCTTGCTAGCAAGGTCTATTGCTTTCTGTAACACAAACAAATAGTTAAGTGCTGCATGACAGCATTTTGCACAATCAAAGAGACATTTTAAGCTGTTGCTCTGACTGCTTTTTGATGGCCAGTTTTTCTGCTCTTCAACATTTACCCCAAAGGTTGAAGGTGACTGATTGCAAGCCTTAGGTGGTGCCTTGTATATGTTCATAAAAGGACAGAAATACTGCCAGTGATCAACAAACTGCTGAAATCTACTAGCACACAGGAAAGTGTAAGTGAGAAGAACAAGTTTCTGTGCGCTAAGTTGGAACTACTACCGGTTTGGCTATGCAGTTTTCCTTACCAAGTTCTTGCATTTATTATGGAAAGATTTGGAAATCCATTCCAAGTTGTTTTGTTTTTTTTTTATCACCGATCCAGACACTTTGAACTACGACTGATGACATCAGTAAACCCTGTCAACAGCAGAGTCAATACAGGAAGTATGTGGTTACAAGGCACTATCACTCTTCCAACCCTATTCTGGGACACATCTTCACACACTGACAATTTGTTTGGCTTCTCTAGAAGGATTTTGGTTCTTGATATTCAAGTGAGAAATTCTAATTACGACTCCTGTGGGAGGGGAGAAAAAAACCTCAGCAAACAGAGAATGTACCCGAATCATGAGCATCAAGAGAAGTTCTAGAAGTTATGGATGAATTTTTAATTATTTGTTGAGTTTGTTTCAAATAAAACTGACTGTGATCTAAGCCATCATATCGCATACACTGGCCTGTGGATTTGTTGGTATCACCATTATTCCTTTGCTGTTAAGTGCTTATTACCTTTTATTAAACTTTACTCCTTGGAACGCCTATACCACTTCAGGACAGTTAAAACTGTCGGTTTGAACACCTAGTTCATGTACGTCTAAAAAAGGCAGTCAGTTAACCAACACTAACTAAATCTTCTATGGCCCCACACACACATTTCCACTTCCAAATAAAGTCAATTTATTTTCCTAAGCACTGTTACTATGCTCAGGATGACTATAGTAACGTCAGGGAGCAAGGAGGAGAGCTTCAACTGCAGCAAGGAGTTTTCATTAGACATCGCAGTACAGATACTCTCATCACTATGTGGGCACTCTGATGTGTTTCAGGCAAAACAAAGCTAGTAAACAGTAGCCATGAAAGAAGAATCAGCAAAATCTCTCGCTCTATTGCTTGGAAGCAACAGATCTACTCGAAATTGAAAAGCAATTTATTAAAAAAAAAAAAATTATCACATAAAGCAGACTCTACAGCTCTGCTGTGGCAAGTGTTGGAACACTCTAAGCACCTGTTTCTTTGGAAGAGAACTTAGTCTTTCCTTTTTGGAGAAGCCATGAGCTGACAAGCAGTTTACCACATACGAACAGGCAGCCCCCTCCTTGCTGCTCACCTTGTGCTGGCTCCATCAGGCCCCTCTATGCACCATTCAAATCCAGCAAAAGAGCAACAACTAACCCAAAAAAGAAGCTACTTTATTCTTAAAGTTCTTAAGCCCCTTAGGGACTTAAAACTACCACAGGATGGTCCAATGATTCTTTAATCCAGTACAACAAAGACAGTAACACATGTCACACTAAATCCAAAGAATAAATGGCAAAGACAACTTGCTAAAATGCAACTGCAAGAAAATAGGGCACGTTGCAGCCCTGCTCCTCTGAAATAATAATAATAAAAACCCCTTACTGTGATGAAGAACACTGCTATCAAACAGGAAATAATTTATTAGGAAGTTGTACGAACTAGGGCACTGATGACCAGCTGTAACGATCCATGAGGCATGAACTGTATTTATCATGCTATGGTTTGACAGTTTGATGAACATCACCCTCAGAAAGAACATCAGCTTAAACAGGTTTCATTCTCCTTCTGCTTATTCCAGACCCTGTGGTATCTCCCATTGCTTTGCTAGTGTAAGCATTACACAACTGTAATGAGCTTGCAGAAATGTTCATGATTCAAAACAGCTAAAGAGAAAACTACTAACTTTAACACAGGTAATTTCTGGATCTGTTTTGCCAGCCAGCCGCAGAGCTGATTATACAGGCCCAGCGGAGGGGTAACACAAATCGAAAGAGAGCAGGCCAAGACTTCCTAGACTCAGTAGTCTCAGAGGAAACCCGAGCCAAACTACGCGTCTAGACCACAAGAGGCAACAGTGCTCCCCAGGTGGGCATGCGGCCCCGCTGCTCCAGTGTCCCGCAGCGCTGGTGCGACCGCCTGCCCGGCGGGTCCCCGTCCGCTCCCCGG